TCGAGGTGCGGGTGCCGCCTTCCCAGGCCGGCTCCAGCTATCACCCCTCCTCTCTGTTACTACCTCACCAGCTCCTGCCCCGGGACCTCCAACTCGCCAGGCCTCCAGGACCCTCCTGCCCCCACAAGGATTGGGAAGCGAGTGAAACACAAGTCCTCCTGCACCTCCCACCCTTCAGACTACAAGCCAGTCTCTCATTGTAAGGACAACTAGTGCCATTGATCCGTTCCTGTGCGAAGCACTGGGTGACAGGCGAATCAATCTGATTCTTCCCTCAACTGTCACTGGGCCTCTGGTGGCCCTCCCCCCCGAGGAGAGTCCGCACCCTGACCTGACCTTACCCACTGCCCCGGAGCTCGGGTCCCCCTTGCTCGAGAGCAGGGCCAGGCTGTCCCCGAGCCTGGCCGTGCAGGAGCCCCCAGCTGTCTGTCTGACTTGACCCCTGCCGGTCGGCCCCTGCTGACCACTCCGTGTCCTCACCTCTGCCAGCTCTGCACCTGGAAGAGTCCATCTGCCCCTCCGGCTGCGGAGGCCCCCCAGGCTAGGCCTCCAGCAACACAGACGCTGCAGACGCAGGTGGTGCAGGGACCTGCCTGCCCCCCCCCCCCCCCCACCCCCCCCCCCCCCCCCCCGCCCCTGGGAGGGAACCTAGGGCCTCGCCGCCCTCACTGGAAAGCCGAGGGACAGCAGGACAGAGCTCCTGTGGTCTTTGTTTCTTTCCCTGAATGCAATGCACATTCCCCACTTAAAGGCAATTTTTTTTACTTCAAAAGGATTCCAGCTGCTTCAATTCAAGGTGAAGAATAAGCCTCAGTCTCGAAGCTTTCCGTTTTCATGGGCTCGAGAAGGGATGCGTTTTAAGATGTTTGCCTCTTGCTGTTTGTCAAAGTGCCTTTTACTTCAACACCTTTCTCAGCCCTCAGAGGCTGCTGGCACAGGGACCGGCCATATTTCCCTGCATTACTTCGCCTTCTCAGGAACCCACCTGACTTCCTAGTTCTCCCTGCTTCCCACTTCCCACCCCTCAGCCTCACCCACCTGCGTGTGGGAGAGACAAATGCTGGCCTGGGGTCCCCCCCCCCCCGGCTCAGCAGCTTTCCTTCAGATGACCCAGGACGCCCACTGGGCTCACATGTCTCATAGCTCACACTCCACCTGCCATTCATTCATTCATTCATTCAGCCACTTGGTCACCTGGTCAGCCAACATGGGGTGTGTGATGCTGTTAGGGGCTGTGGGTGCTTCAAAGAAATACAACACAGTCTTGTTATAAATTGACTGAAGCTACGAATATACAACCGCAATACAAAACAGAAGGAAGTGAACTCTGAGTTTGGAGTGTAGAGGACATTAAAAAGGCTCAGAAAAAGAAGAGATCAGCTAGGAATGGGGGTGGATCCCAGAGGGAGGGAGGCAGTCAGGAAAGGCTTCTTGGAGGAGGAAACATTTTGGTGGGGGCAGGGTGTCCCAGAGTGCAGGGTCCAAATATGGGCAGTGCCTAAGCAAAGGTGTGGAGGTGCCGGAAGCCAGTTCCAGCATGCCATAATTGCAAGAGTTTCATCGAAAGGTTGATGGAACTTGGGAACTCAACAAGGGCTGAGCCACATATGTTGTCACTTGTTGGGAATGGCTAAACGCATTTCCCCAAACCTGAATAGGGATGATTGCTTGCTGCCAGACCTCTAAGGGCATCTTAATCTACATGTTATTGCCTCCTACTGGCCAAACACCTGAACAGCCGTAGGCTAATTCTTTCAATCTGACAATGGACTCTGTAAATGAAACCTGGCCCTTTAATGTGTATATCTCTGCCTCACCTCAGGACAATTTGTGTTAATAAAAAGCATGGGGTTCTGAGACGAGGAGATCTTAGTTTCTTTAGCTAAAGCTCCTCTGACTCCCAAATGCCTTTCAAAATTATGTTTCGTCTCTGGACTCTTTATTAAGTTACACACAGCGCCTTCTCCAGATTGCTGAACCCTTCTAGATGCTGAAACAAGAACCCCGGCATGGAGGCACAGCCCTCTGGTGGGCACAGAGGCTCTATCCTGTGCCCACTGCAAGCCTCTCTCCAGGGCCTCGGGTGTGTGTGTGGGGGGGGGGGGGCGTTCCTCCTGTACAGTCCATGGACATTCACTGCTTTGGTGGCCTTGCTTTAATCAGGCCCTGGGCCCAGAGGAAATCCCTTTATCCTCTTCTCGGTCACTAGGACTATTTCCCCTCCCACTTTCCTGGCCTGTCTCCACCTCCTCTCCACCACCTTCCTTGAACCACTGCCCTTTCTGTCCCAGGAACGCGTCCCCTTAGCAAGCCCCCCCCCCCAATGTGCCAGCACCCCAGTATCTCCCTGAGAGCCCCTGCCAGCGGTCCAGGGGCCACGCCTCTGGAGATGGGCAGGCCTGGCTTACACCCTGGCTCTGCCACTTCCCAGTGCTGCACGGGGCCTGGGTGCTTCCTCCTGTAGGAACTTTTCTTACTTTTCCAACCCAACACCTTGCCCCTTCTGGTAAGCAGCACCTTGCTTCTCCTCTGGGGGAGCACCCCTTCTGCTTTCAGCCCTCGTAGGTTGAGTGGGTGCCCAGCTCACTGTTTGGTTCAGGGCTGGGCATGCCATGCAAGTGGGACAAATCTTGGAACTTTTCATGGTTGGAAAGGGTCAAGCTACTCCCACTAGGATTGGTGAGCTAGTAAGACACAAATCGGAAGCTGCTGAGGGTGGTCTTTGTCATCACAAGGAGAGTCTATACACAAAGCCAGCACAGAAAAAAAAAATAGAGAAAAGAGACAGATAGATAGAGCCCTAGTGATGCTGTTTGAGCACCTGGATACAGCAACGCCTACAGTCATCCCTGGAGTCTTCAGCTTGTGAACAGTAATGCCTTCCTTCCTTTCTTTTTTTTTTCTTTCTTTCTTCTTTTTTTTCGGGGGGGGGGGGGCGGAGGGGGGAGAGCTCAAGCTAGTTTCAGTTGTTTCTTGTCACTTGCCACTAATAATCTCAATTAAAGAAAAACGTACCTTGCAGACTTGATGAGAGCATTAGACGAGATGACACATGAATAGTACTCAGCATACAGTGGGTACTACCTGGTGAATGGTGGCTTTGGGTAGGTCTAACTGAATCTGCCTTCTCGAAGGTCAAATTTCCACAGTGTGTAGTTCTATAGTAGCACAGAACTCCTTTTTATTTATTTCTTTCCACCACTTCAACCAACCGCCCTTTGTGCGATCTCTGCCCTCCTTGGCTTTCTTAACCACAGCTCTGTGCCCTTCCTAAATGTCCAGATGTTCTTCCTCCCCCGCCTCCGGGATGAGACAGGGTGGGAGACCCCAGCATCTGGAGGGGATCATAACCGCTCTGCGTCAAGTGCCCATCCCCCAGGACCATCAGCATCAACTGAATCCCATCAAACGCAGACTGTCCAAACTTGCTTCCAACTTGTCCCTCCCAAGGACACCAGGTACTCAGAAAAGTCTCCACTGCCATCTAGTGGACATCCGCAGCAATAGCATGAGTAACCAACTGAGAATCCCTGTTGGGACAGCTAGTTAATGGCTGTAAAATCATCTGGCCCAACCTCCGCACTCCTTCAGTGACAAACGCGAGGGTGGGTGAATTAGTGGTGAGGTGAGAGTCCTTTCCCACGGGCGACATTACACTCTTCTGCTCCCGCCCTACTTCTTCAGCCCTCCATCCCCTGGAGTTAGAATCACAGTGACCATTTCCCTGGCTTCTCCCGCCTGCCCATGGCATGATGACACATGTGCCTGCGTGTACAGAGGACTGGGAGGGTGGAGGGGAGGCGACCTGGAAGGTCTCCTTGTTACTGGCTTGCTCCGTCTCCCAGAGGAAAGGATTCTTGTCACATCTGCAAACACGATAGCCTATCAACACTTCGTGTTCCCAGCCTCGGAAACTGCGAGACATGTCTCAGTCTATTTGGCCCCCGATAGTGAAAAACAGTTCAAGAAAGAGAGAAAAATCTATCCTCTACCCCTACCTGACCCCACCCTGAACTGACTCTCGCTCTGCCTGGCTGACAGAGGGCCAGGCTGCGCTGACAGGTGAAGAGCCCGCTGTGGCCGCTCCCTGCCACATGCCCAGGAGACCCAAAGGCTGGCCTCGGTGCCCCTGCGGTCCCTTCCTGATCATGGCCCTCTGTCTCCACCCATTCATGGCCTGAGCCCTGGACACATCAGTCCTTGTCCCTGGGTGGACACCGGCACCTCCCACTAAAACAAAGCACATAGTGAAGGTCACCTTTCACCCCGGATGCTTTGGGGGCTCGGCCTGGCCCAGGAGTCAAGGAAGAAGCAAACGGCGCCCAGAACCCGGAGCAGCTCCCCTAGGACATGGCCTGGACACCGGGAGCAGCAGCCACATCCCACTTCCCAGTCCCATGGCCCTTCCCCAAACCAGGGGAACCTTCCAGATCAATATGGTGCTAATCATTTCCCAGTAAGAGGCATAGTTACTTCCCATTCCTAAAGTGCTCCAATCTTCTATTTTAGGCAACTTGGGGTGAGCGTGTTTCCTGTTGTGATAACCGAGTCAAGGCACACTGACCCCGCTGTTCAGCCTACACCAGACGTGCTGCCTTTACACACCAGCTCCTCCCCATCCAGAAGGTTGTTCTGAAAGCCCAGGCCCCTTGCACCTTGAGAAAGAACTCCCCACACCTGTCTTTCTCCTCCATTTCTCTGCAGACTCCAAAGTACGCGGCAGCTGGTCCTCACGACTGAGGGGCCAGGCTGAGGGCTCGGGGGCTGCAGAAGCAGGGAAAGGCCCGAGCAGATGGCCCCTGAGCCCTGACAAAACTCTCCCAATCTGCAACCCTCCCACCCATCCAAACTTCTCCAAGGCTGGGGGGCTGCTCTTAGGAGGCACATGCTTATGGCAACAGCCATCTGTTACCACCAGACCCAACCCAGATGGCTCTGCACACAGCTTCTAGTCACTCAGATGAGCAGGCGCATCCTCCAGGCCAGGCCTGCTCACTCACCTCCGAGGCCTTCGGGAACTTGACTGTCGGCGGGGGCCAGAGGGTGATCTTCTGTCTGTAGCTGTTGCAGCTCGGAACAACCATGCAGCTGACCTCCCCCACCTCTGGGTAGAAAACTTCTAGGCCCCTGCAGAGAGAGAGAGAGAGAGAGAGAGAGAGAGAGAGAGAGAGAGAGAGAGAAGTGGTTGGGCCATGTCAGGGCTCTAGGGAGCCTGGGGTTTATAAGGTTTCAGTCTAACACTGTTGGGAATTGTATAGTCAAGTGGGATTGAATCCTAGACCTGCCACTATCTGTGTGGCTGTATGGCTGTGTGGCCTAAGAGGCACCTGACTTCTTGGTGCCTCAGTTTATTCACCTGTAAAATGGGGACACTAATAGAATCTATGTATAGGCTGGCTCGAGGAGTAAAGTGAGGGATCAGTACAGAGCAGTCAGAAAGTGTTAGCTATCATCAGTGTTTTCTTCTCAAAAAGAACATATATCCTAGGCAAACTAATCAGGGGCCAGATGTGATCAGTGTCTTTAAAGTACGATTATAAGAATCGTATTTAAACATTGCTTTTTTGGAATGTTTTTATTACATAAGGAAATATTTAGCAAATTAACACAGCTTTCTTCATGGCACAATCTGTTTTCTTCCCTTACAATTAAGATCCTCTCAATGTTTGGAATCCCACCACTTAAATAATCCACTTCTTTGGGTTAGATATTGTCCATACCTTGGCCTACTATTCATTGCAGGTTCAAAACGCAAATATCTCTCAGGGAGTAAAATACCTCATCACTAAGACTGTGCTATGTACTTACTTATCTACCTTCTCCCTGAGAAGGGTCTGAACAGCATGAGTGCTGCGAGGATCGGGCTCAGCGGGAGGGCTGATCCCACAATGCCACCAGGGGGAGCCCTAAGGGCTCACTTGTGTTTAAAACTCAGGGATGTAAGCCAGGCTTTCAAATCGATTATTTACAAAAACCTTTGTGCCTTGTTTTTACTTGCTGCTTCCTCCTCGTCCTTCTGTCACTTTTTATCACAAAGACTCAGGGTCTCCCTAGGGTTTGTCAACTGATGGTCATTGGTGCCAATTCAACACTAGCTGGAATCCCCAATATGGATTGTGGTGAAGGAGGAGACTTTATTCAGTGCAAACAGCTCAGCTGTGACACAGCATGGCTGTGGAACAGCTCAACAGTGTTACATCTCAATTATGAAACAGCCTGGCTGTGAGGCACCCGTGGGTGTGAGGTGGCAGGGCCCTTCCCAGCTACACAGCTCTGCTCCACTCAGCGATCTTCACTCCAGCCAGGGGTAAACCCGGTCTTCTGTGGAAAGAGAACGTGTGCTCGCTGAGCTACAGGGGAGCTGACTTACGTGGAGAGAAGTCCCCACCCGCAGCCCCTGACTAATTTGTTCTCAAGCAAAAGAGGATTCCAAATCCTCACAATTTGATTGGTCCAAAAAGCACTGTCCTGATTGGTCAGAATGGAGCTGCTCTGATTGGTTGGGGAAGATGCTAATGAGGATATAGCTGTGCAGCTCTAATTGGACAGGAAAACTCTCAGTCTTATTGGTTGAAAGACGAGTCAGGGGACTCCTCTATAAGGCTGGCTCAGATGGCGGGAACACAGTGCAGCGGGCAGTTCAGTGGAGGTTCTCCCTGAGCTGTGGCTTGCAGCTCCCTAGAGGCTCCTGTTTGGCAGCAGCTGCCAGGCTCTGTTTGTAGATTTGAGCCCAGGTAGCCACCAGGAGCCCTTTCAACAGGTACATTAATCTCAGGTCAACAGTTCACTTGGTTAAGATGATACATTGAGAGAGAAGGTGCATGTCCTCAGCCTTTCCAAATAGCCCAGCTCCTCAGCCCGCCGTGGGTCACCCGGCACTGCCCATGGTTTCCTGCCAGGCGTGACGCCTGAAGAGGCCCAGGTGGAAATGTGATTTGGGTAGTAGAGCTGGAGGGGGAGCTCCTGAAGTTTGAACCTGGGAGAAGGGCAAGGACAACGCCCTGGTGAGGAGCCCCACATTCGCCCTCCTGACCCCACCCTTCCAGGGGCTTCTGAGGCCCTAACTTGGGCAAAGGCAGCTGGAGCCTGCAACACTCGCCAGATGCGAGATTTCCCCTCAGGCCAGCACCCCAATGCCAGGACTCAGGCCGACTGAGGCAGGACATTCACCACTTAGCTGCACCGCCGGCTTGCTGAGCAAACTCGTAACTCTTCACAAGCTTACAGCCATTGCTTTGGGATGGTGTGGTTTTAACAGCTTTTGAAGAACTTTCAGAGGACAGGTTTTCATTTATCCTCACAGCAGCCTTTCAAGGATCATTTGGTTTGATTCACCTCTTGCCCCTGCCGCTGCATCTCAGGAGAACTGAGGCTGAGAGAGATTCATCACACAGCACTGAACTGGGAAAGGCCAAGGGTCAGGGAGGAGGGAAACTGAGGACCAGAGGGGCCTTCCCCGGGGAACAAACAGGTCTCTTGTTTTTATCCGCGTAGAGTTGCTGCAAGTGCTAAAATAGTGACGCAAAATCAGCAGGTTGACATTTGGTTGGTGCCGAGAGCCTCTGGGGGTGCCCTGGCAGGGTATGTATGTGCCGGGGGCCAGGGTCAGTGGCCCAGCCCCATCACGCCCACGGGCACGGCCAGCGGGTGTGAAGCCCTCCTGCCACTCCACAGCAGGGCAAGCCAAGGGTCCTGAGGAGCAGCTTTACCGGAGGCTTGGATCAGGACAGAGGCAAACTTGATTTCTGAATGGCCCAATGCTGGTAACTAACAATTCAGGTGATCAAACCAGCCTAAAAGAACATCTGGACAAACCTGAGATGAACTGAATCAGAAATGAAATCTAGTGAAAACACCCTTGCACTCAAGTTCAAAAACCTGGAAGGGGCTATCGTCCTGCAGCGAGTGCCCGTTCCACTCATAGTGTTCCTTACATGGGACACGTTCCAATCTCCACCCCGAGAGGTGGGGCATCGCCTGATCTCCTGAGGAGATGAGGGTGCATCCAAGAAATTTGGGGGAGAGGAGCAGAGACTCTGGTCCCAACTTGGCCATTATCTGGCATTGCAAGAGAGATGGGTGGGGGTTGGGGAAAGGAAGTGTCATTGTTGGATCACCCCAATAGATCAGGTACATTACCTAATATTATTCCATTCCACACAGCAATATCTTGAAGCAGCTACTGTTGTTGTTCTCATCTCCCAGTTGAATACACTGAAGCTAAGGAACCAGCCCAGAGTCTCATAATTAGTGGACTGAGCGGGAAAGGGGACATGGGTGTAGCAGACAGGGTCCAAGATGCCCCCAGTGAGCCCCGTCTCCTTGTGTTATCCCCTCCCCTTGAATGGGGGCCAGATGCAGCGACTTGCTTCTAGTAGAGAATACGACAGAAGTGATGGGATGTCACTTCCAAAATTATAAGGAGATGATGGCTTGTGCCTGGAGGTCCTCTTTTTCATGCTCCCCCTCTCAAATCCTTGCTCTGGAGAAGCCAGCTGCTATGTGTAAACAGCCCATGGAGAGGCCACCTGGACAGGTGGCCAAGACTGTCACAGCCACATGGGCGAGCTCAGAAGCAGAGTCTCCCACCAGCCCACCCTTCAGATGAGACTGCGGCCCTAGCTGACAGCTTCACTGCAGCCTCCTGAGAGACCTTGAGCCAGAGACGCCCAGCCGAGCCACAACTGGAGGAAAGGTGAGACAGCCAGTGTGTGCAGCCGCCTGGGTTCCGGGTCCTTGGTTGTGCAGCAAGAGAGCGACTGCAGCGGGCTTGTCTGCACTTTCCCATACCACACTGCTTCCCCAGGGAGTCACTCAGCTTCCCCAGGCTTCTGTTTGACCCTTCGGCGTTGTAAGAATTGGATTAGAGGAAAAGAGCTTCCCAGCTGTGCCTGTGGAAACGGCTCAAAATTCCAGCTGCCCGAAAGCAAGGGTGGAGATGAGGCTGCGTTCACAGAGGCATGAAGGGTCTCTGTGGGCACCCCACCCCCTACTGCATGGTTCTCAACAGGACAGTGTGGGGTGCCACACTTAAAAAAAGACCAATGGGTCTGTCTGCAACAGACCCTCCCTGAAAGTGGGGGCCCAGAACCAAGGCCCCTGAGGAGGAATTGACAAATGGAGGTGGACACCCAGCTGTGGGTGAAGATCCGGGGGTGGGGTGGGGTGGGGCATGACATCTGTCCCCAAGATCTTGGGTTCCATCTCTAGTCAGGACACATACACAAATCAACCAATGAATGCATAGATGGGTGGAACAGCCAGTCAATGCTTCTCTCTCTAAAATAAATGAATAAATAATAAATAAATAAAAGATAGCCCCTTTCTTGAGATTAGGACACACTCCGAAGGGTGGAGTTTTCCAGCACAAAAGAGAGGGCTTTGAGAGAGAGAGAGGATTATTGAGTGGAATCACCCAAAAGGCGCGGGTTGGACAACTATGGTTCTTTTGGTTCTGAGGTGGAGCCAGGGTTCTGACTCGGTGTTTCTGTCAGTCTGGTCTGGCCTATCTCGGGAGTAGGTGAGCTATTATTCTAGAAGAGCTTTTCTCTAAATGTTTCCCACTGCTTGTCCCTGTACATAAAATTCCTCCTTCACAGATCAATACCTCTAGTATTGAGTTCTAACTTCAAGAATTTCCTATTAGACTAAATGCCCACAAGAGGAGTGGCTGTGGGTTGCGCGGTGGGGCAGGGGGTAGGGGGAGAGGGTGGGGTGTCTCTCATAGGTTGGAAACCTGAGCTGAGTGGGTTTCTTGGGGAGGGGCCCCAGCACAGGACCTACTGATCCCGGCTCCAGGGTTCCCTGTGTCCAGATGTGCTCACATTCTGTGATGATCTTTTACAAACAAAAACCTTCAGCAGGAACAAAGACAAAGTCTCCGTTTTGCAACAATGGTTCACAGCCTGAAGCCATTGCCTAGCACACAGCTTTAGTGTTGGAAGTCTGTGTTTCTCAAACTGGGGTCTGTTGGTGTGTTCTGGGGAGTCATAAGAATGGCTCTTGCTATGGTCTGAATGTTTGTATCCCCCAACCCCAAATTCATATGTTGAAATCCTAGCCCCTCGTGTGATGATATTGGCAGGTGGTGCTTAGGTCATGCGGGTGGAGCCCTCCTGAATGGGATTAGTGCCCTTACAAAGGAGATCCCATAGAGATCCCTCTTTCCTTCTGCCGTGTGAGGACACAGCAAGAAGACAGGTGTCTATGAACCAGGAAGCGGGTCCTCACCAGACATCAACTTTGCCTACAGCTTGATCTTGGACTTCCCAGCCTCCAGAACGCTGAGAAATAAATTTCTGTTGTTTATAAGCCCCCTAGTCTCTGTCAGTTTGTTATAACAGCCCCAACGGGCTAAGACAACTTTCCCCCCCTTTACTGGAGACGCTCCGGGCCCTGGATGGGGTCAGCAGCCCAAAGCTGGTGGGGAAAGAGCATGAGTGCAGAGTCAGGTGAGGGATTTTATCCCCGTCCGGACACCTGTCAGCTGTGTCGGCACCATGGGCGGGTGATTTAATCGCTGGAGAGTCCTCACCTGTGAAATGAGGATGCTAATACTTGGAAGATTCATGATCACAATCAAATGAGTCAAGGCATCTAAGGCCCCAGCAGAACTCCTGGCATGTAACAGGGGCCACCAGCTTCCGTCTGGATGCAACAGGGTACAGCCTCGGGCAGCTGGGGTGCAGGGCAGCCAACTCCAGGGAGTGTGTGCGCATGTGCACACACACACACACACACACACACATATACATACAAACATACACACACATACACACACACGCGCGCGCGCGCACACACACACACATGAGCATTTCTTGTGCATCCCACAGTGTGGGCGACATGGGGGTGGGGGGCATGGGGCTGGTACTGCTGCCTGGCCCAGCGGACCTGCCAGCTGGTGGTGGGGCCTTGACCTCTGCCTCCCAGAGGAAGCAGCCTGCCCAGAAGGTTCCGCTCAGCAGAGCACCAGGAGGGCGGCGCCCACAGGGTGGCAGCACGTTCCCTCCTGCTCCACATGAACCTTCACCCAGAACTGTCTGCTAGAGTTTCAAATGTACCCACAGGAGCAGAATTTGTTGTTGTTGTTTTTTGGGGGGGGCGGGGGGGCTTCAACTACCTAACTCTTTAAGGCAGTGGTTCTCAACCTTCCTAATGCCGCAGCCCTTTAACACAGTTCCTCATGTTGTGTGACCCCAACGATAAAATTATTTTTGTTGCTTCTTCATAGCTGTAATTTTGCTACTGTGATGAATCGTAATGTACATATCTGATATGCAGGATGTATTTTCATTGTTACAAATTGAACATAATTAAAGCATAGTGATTAATCACAAAAACAATATGTAATTATATATGTGTTTTCCGATGGTCATAGGCGACCCCTGTGAAAGGGTCGTTCGACCCCCAAAGGGGTTGCGACCCCCAAAGGTTGAGAACCGCTGCTTTAAGGGGAAGGATGTACTTCTCTTTCTAAAAGCAATGTCTGTGAGAATTCAAATTACACAAGAAGACAGAGTAAGGAGCCGCCTTCCTCCCTCTCTTCTGTTGGTTCAGTGGGAAGACACACTGGCCACGGGGTGGCGGCCACGCGCCCGGGCAGCCCTCGGGATGACCCCTGACACGGAAGACTGGCCCTTCCAACCCGCGGTCTGTGAGGAGGTCTGTGAGGAGGGTGCTGCAACTCCACGCAGCCACAGCCGTAGCAGAGAGACGCTGTGCCCTTGGAGGAAAAACCCAGCCTCAGAGCCCAGCCTGCTCCCTGGACAGCAACCGGCGGCCACGCCCCTGGAAGGCCAGCCTGTCCCAGCACCCCTGGGGCCTGTTACTGAAAAGCAAACAGCCAGCTCTCCAGCTGCCACTCTTCCTTAAATGCCACTTTGTAGGGGGAGGGAGCCTTTGGGACTGTAGGGCAGGATGGGTCTCAGGGTCCCAGCAAGGTGGGCGAGGCCAGCCCCTCAGAGCCCCAGGAGGAGCCGACCACATCCACATACCACCCCGTCCCGGAAAGCTGCTGCTGGAAGCAGGGGCCCAGCTCAAGGTCCTCTTCCTCAGGGCCCTCCCGCTTCAAGGGGCCTCAGTCTTCGCCTGTCTGCAAAGGCTGCCTTAGGAGGACGTGCTCCTTGTTCTGGAAACACCTTCCTGAGACCCCTGCCCAGCTGCTCTGGGCTCCCACCAGCCTTACTTGCAGAAGTCAGTATCCGTGGCATTCACAGCCTTGGGCGCACACAGCTCCTCCTTCCCCTGGAATCCGGTGACCACCATCGCCAGGCCCACAAACAGAGCTGCCATGGCCAGCCTCATTGTCCAGCTCACAGGCACCTGGAACAGAAGGAGCCTTTAGTGCTGCCAGCCCTCTGCAGGCGGAGCCCTTCTCCCCCCTGTAACCCCCCCCCCCCCACACACACACACACACCCGCCCTGCCCCCAGGGGCCCACCTGGGGGAACAGAGACCCCTAGTGAGCAGCGGGAGAGGAGCAGGCAGCTAATCGCCACCCGGACACAAGTGCGTTAGGAGGACCGAGGCCTACTCCAGGCTGGACTCAATTTGCAATCCTGGCTGAGGCCCCGCCCCTGTCAGAACAAGGCTCTGCTGTCACTGGAGCCCTGGCTGCCAGGGCCCAGAGCAGGCTGCAAAGCAGAGGTGCTCAAGGAGCCTCTTGGCACAGCTCCTCATCCTGCCCTCACCACTTGCTGTGCGTGGTTGGTTGGCCAAGGGCCAGCCTGCTCCTTAGGCCTTTATGCAAACCCTGGAAGCTGGCGACGCCAGGCTTCGGGCTGGGGGAGGTTCTGGGGAGCTTGCAGGAACCTGACCTTCACTGTTTTTCTAGGGGCAGGGGTCTGGCTGGGCGGGGCTCCTTGGAGAGCTCTGCTTTTCTGCCCACAGTTCCTCCGCCACCTGTTTGACAGCCCCGGGCTGTCTTGTGGTGGATGTGCTCAGATGCAGCCATCTTGTGTAGGAGGGGCTGCTGCACGTGGGGTAGGGCCGACCCAGCCCGAGGCCAGCTTTGAGGGGCCAGCTGAGGAGAGAAGGGCTCATCCGACTTCACCTTGCAACAGTGCTGAGCTCAGCACTCTCCCAAAATAACAGTCTCCAGGGAAGAAAGCCAGTAGAGCTATAAGGAAGCGGCAGCCTGCACCAGCACTGTGCCCAGAGGAAGAGCCTGCACCAGCACTGTGCCGGGAGGAAGGGGGCCTGCACCAGCACTGTGCTGGGGGGAAGGGCCTGCACCTGCACTGTGCCGGGAGGAAGGGGGCCTGCACCAGCACTGTGCCAGGAGGAAGGGGGGCCTGCACCAGCACTGTGCCGGGAGGAAGGGCCTGCACCAGCACTGTGCCAGGAGGAAGGGGGGCCTGCACCAGCACTGTGCCGGGAGGAAGGGTGCCTGCACCAGCACTGTGCCGGGAGGAAGGGTGCCTGCACCAGCACTGTGCCAGGAGGAAGGGGGCCTGCACCAGCACTGTGCCGGGAGGAAGGGGGCCTGCACCAGCACTGTGCCGGGAGGAACGGGGGCCTGCACCAGCACTGTGCCGGGAGGAAGGGCCTGCACCAGCACTGTGCCAGGAGGAAGGGGGCCTGCACCAGCACTGTGCCGGGAGGAAGGGGGCCTGCACCAGCACTGTGCCGGGAGGAACGGGGGCCTGCACCAGCACTGTGCCGGGAGGAAGGGGGCCTGCACCAGCACTGTGCCGGGAGGAAGGGCCTGCACCAGCACTGTGCCAGGAGGAAGGGGGGCCTGCACCAGCACTGTGCCAGGAGGAAGGGCCTGCACCAGCACTGTGCCAGGAGGAAGGGGGCCTGCACCAGCACTGTGCCGGGGGGAAGGGCCTGCACCTGCACTGTGCCGGGAGGAAGGGCCTGCACCAGCACTGTGCAGGGGGGAAGGGCCTGTACCAGCACTGTGCCGGGGGGAAGGGCCTGCACCAGCACTGTGCCGGGGGAAGGGGGCCTTGGGCTGAGCCATACTAAACTCTTCCTGGGGAAAGAGGCCTGCGGGAAGGTGTGTGTGGGACTCTGATTGGAACCAGAACTGGCAAGGGAAGATCAAAAGCAGTTCTCCCACGGACTTTCCAATTGATCTGTCACTTCTCTGAGACACGGGTGTGGGGGAGTTCACCAGCCCTGAGCGGAGGACTCCTAAGTTCTGCTCTGAGCTGCTCCAGGCTGCTGGGGGATGGGAGTGCCATGGCTCTCTAACATGCACCATGTCCCCCTTTCAGAAACAAATAATAAAACCTGGTGACCCCTGTGCCTTGCTAAGGAATATGAAATCATAACCATATAGTATATGCAGCGAGATCTTTAGAAACACTGTTTTCAGCATAGCTTGCTTTTCAGTTGAATTCCTGCTTCCAGGATTCCAGCTTCTAGCAAAAAGTCCTTCTTTGGGACTACAAACTAAACACACTTCTCAATAATGAGAGTCCCTAAAGTATGACGAGGGCTCCCCCACAGAGAACTCATTCCCAAGAACTCCCCGACTAGAAAGTGTCTCCTGGTAGCCTCCTCACAAGATGGTTGTGAGAATGAAATGAAATGAATTAGGTAAGGCACCCGGTGAGCTACCTGCCACCTAGGGGATGCTCAATCATTTGTGGATGGTGTGGGCCTTGGTCCATAGGTCCATCCACTCACTTGTTCACTCATTCACAATCCATTTCACCAACAGGTATTGAGCGCCTCCCATGTGCTGGGCTTGTGCCAGCCCGAGGTATAGGGTCCCTGTCCTCATGGAGCCCAAGGACAGCCAGAGCCAGAGGCTGATGCTACCAGAATGATCATTCAAGACCAAGAGACTCTTGTCTTCAAGTGGCAGCCACTAGAAAAGCAAATACTTTCCTGGTGCCAACAGCCCTTGGCAGCAGCAATGAATGTCTGTGTGGAGGAGGGGAGCGTCTCAGCGCAGGGTTGCTCCTGCTGAGCCCACTCAGATGGGCATCTCCTCCTCACTCAGCATGCTCCAGGCTTTTGTCATTGACCCTCATGATGACCCTCTGAAGTAAGGGAGACTTGGGTAGTAAGTGGCTGACCCGGGATTTTGAAACCATGCCATTTGACTCCAGACTCCATGATCCTTAACCACTCTGCTCTCTTGCAGCTCAGCTGTCCTCTCACTTGCTCCCCTTTTATTCCCTTTGCTCTTAGAATAAGGCCCAGAATCTTCCACGTAGCCCACAGTGCCCTGCTCGGTCTGACTCTTCCTGCCTCTCTAGGCCTGTTTCTCTATGCTCCACTGCTCACTTCTTAACCCCAGCTATTCCTGCAAGCTCCTTCCTGTGCCCAGGCCTTCCTATGCCCCACCTTCCAGTCCCTTCTGATAAATAGCCAAGCTCATTTCCTCAAGAGAAACTTCCTTTGCCCCCCAGGGTCCATTGGATCTCAGTTACACAGGGTGAGAGCACTTTGCTCCTTCCCTTACTGTCCTTACGTGTTTGTTTACCCCTTTCCTTATTGTTCTTATGTGAAATCTTCTGTAATCACTTGCTTAGTGATTTGCTTATAATTCCAGGCAGCACTCAATCTGTGTTTAGCATTGCGAGCACAGTCCCTGGCCTGTCTAGATGCTTAATAAAATCTTGTTTGAATGTTTGACAAACTTGCCACTTCTGTTTCTGATCATCTTTATTTTCACTTAACAGCTCCTAACTCTCTATAAACACCCATAGGAAACTCACCACTCAGGTTGGCATCTGGCCCTAGGTCCCTTTTTCTTACTTATCTAACCTTCTCTGGCTTGTTTTTGTACAGAGATATCTGACAGAATATAGTGGTTCTTAGTATTTTCAAATCTGATCTTTCTTTTGGGGGTTCATAGGACTTCGCTTCATATTCAGAATCTCAGATCTAAGAGGGCAAGATCAAGCCCAGGGAGGCACAGCCCCCTCCCCATCACCAGCTTGTTTTACTCAATTGACTCACTTCTGGAAGTGCCCATCCCTACATCCCTTGGTGCTCACATGTGAAGCCGCCTTCTCTTGCTTCAGTCACCTGGGCTGGGACAATCTCCCAACGTCATCAATCAGGCCAGGCCTGTTGGCTTCCTGAAGTGTCTCAGTCCCTCCAGGCCCCAGGATCTTCTGGACCAGTGCTGCCAAACCCCTGAGCCCCTCTCTCATCCCTCCAGGCCTCCTGTGCCTGACACCCCCTGTCACTACCCAGGTGCCATCTCCTTTCTCTATCCAGACACAGACTCTTACCCTTTCCCTCCCTCCTAAACTTTTCCACTAATGCCCTCTGGAACCTCTGAACTGTAGTGACCAAATTCCTCCTGGATGCCAGGGGAACCAATCATGTGATTGGAGAGTTGAAACTTTCATTCCCCTCCTATCACCACCCCCACCTCCATGGAGAGGGGCTAGAGGTCGAGTAGTCACCAGTGGCCAATGATTTAATCAATCATACCTATGTAATGGAACTTCCATAAAAACCAAAAGTACAAGGTTCAGAGAGTTTCCAGGTTGGCAAACACGTGGAGATTCAGGGAAAGTGGCATGTAGGAAAGCATGGAAGTTCTATGCCCCTTCCCACATATCTTACCCTATGCATCTTTTCCATCTAGTAAGTAAAATGTTTCTCTGAGTTCTGTAGGTCACTCTAGCAAATTAATCCAAATTAATCAAACCCAAGGAGGGGGTCATTGGAACTTCTAATATAGAAGCCCAGGTGATAACTTGGATTTGAGATTGACATCTGAAGGCCGGGGTTGGAGGGGGCGGGAGGTGGGGAGCAGTACTGTAGGACTAAGCCCTTAACCTGTGGAATCTAATACCATCTCCCAGGAAATAGTGTCAGAAGGTCCAATTTCATTCTTTTACATGTAGCTATTCAGTTGTTCCAGAACTATGAAAAAAATAAATTTCTGTTGTTTAAGCCACCCAATCTGTGGTATTTTATATAAAATCACTGGAAAACTAATACACTTGTCTTGTTCCTGATCTTCAGGAAAAAATTTCAGTCTTTCACCACTGAGTATGTTGTTAGCTATGGGTATTTCATATATGTTGTCAGCAGGGTTGGTTTCTCCTGAGGCCTCTCTCCTTGGCTTGCAGATGGCTGCCTTCTCACTGTGTCCTCACGTAGTCTTTCCTCTGGTGTCTCTTTGTGTGTCTAAATGTCCTTCTTATAAGGACACTAGTAAGACTGAATTAAGACCTATCCTACTGGCCTCATTTTTATATAATCAATTATTTAAAGGCTCTATCTTTAAATATAGTCATATTCTTGGGCACTGGGGTTAAGGCTTCAACATGTAAATTTGGGGAGGGGCATAATTCAGACCATGACCATAAGGATGCCCACTTTCACTACTTCTATTCAACACACTATTAGAAGTTCCAGCCAGAGCAATTAGACGAGAAAAACAAATAAAAGGAAATTGGAGAGGAAGAAGTAAAATTATCTCTGTTTGCAGATGACATGATTTTATACGTAGAAAACTAATAATTCAAACAAACAAAGATAAGAAGTGAATTCAGCAAAGTTGCAGGGTACAAATTCAACACGCAAAAATCAGCTGCATTTTTCCTACACCAACAA